GTAGATTACGTGTCCAAGTGGGTTGAGGCCATCCCCACACGGACATGTGATGCTAATGTGGTTATCATGTTTTTGCGAGGACATATCTTAAGCAGGTTCAGTTTTCCACGGGCTATTGTGAGTGATGGAGGGAAGCATTTTTGCAATCGTGTTTTTGAAAAGCTGATGAAGAAATACAGTATTTCTCATAAGGTGGCCACTCCTTATCATCCTCAAACATCGGGCCAGGCAGAAACGAGTAACAAGCAGATAAAGACCATTCTCGAGAAGACAGTGAATTCGTCTAGGAAGGATTGGTCAAGTTGGTTTGACGATGCACTGTGGGCCCAAAGGACAGCTTACAAAGGAGTTCTGAGGATGAGCCCTTTCCGGCTAGTCTATGGAAAATCGTGCCATACCGGTTGAAATTGAGCACAAGGCGTTTTGGGCAATCAGAAAGGTGAATTTTGACCTTGATGCAGCCGGGCGAGAGAGAATGTTACAGCTCTCGGAACTCGAAGAGTTGAGCAATGAGGCTTACAAGAGCGCAAAGATTTACAAGGACAAAGTGAAGAAGCTTCACGATGCTACTATTGTCCGTAAGAATCTCGAGCCCGGCCTGAAGGTACTTCTATTTAACTCCCGCCTTCGTCTCTTTCCCGGAGAACTCAAATCACGCTAGAGTGGGCCGTATATCATTGATGAGGTGCTATCTTACGGAGCTGTCCGACTTCGTAATCCAGCTAATGGCGACTTATTCGTGGTCAACGGGCAGAGAGTGAAACCATATTTCGATGGAGAGTTCGGAAAACAGCATGTCGAGACTGTCAGTCTCGGCGACCCAGTCTATGCTTGATCGAGACAACACGAGTATCCTTTGTACTGCTGTATATTTGTTTAATTTCTTCTATTTTTATTTATATATATATATATATAAATATGATGGTCGCTGGCCGCGGAGATTTTCTTAGCCGCGGTCGCGGCGACCAATTTTTGGGTCACAAATGTCAAGTCCAGCTCAAGAAACTCGCGGCCTCGGAGGCATGTCGCGGCCGCGGAGATTTTCTTAGCCGCGGCCGCGGCGAGTTATCGGTTCCAAAACTCGCCCCTCCTGCCTTAAAATCTCGCGGCCGCGGAGCCAAGTCGCGGCCGCGGCGAAGGAAACAAGTCGCGACCCTAGAAAAGTTGCGGGCCGTGAGACGCGCATTTTTAAGACCAAATTTGCAGATTATAGGCTTATTCTCGTCTCCAACAAATCGCTCTCAACAGAGCCGGCGATTCTCAATCTCTCTCTCTCAAGCATAAATCATCACCCGTCACCCCAAAGTTCTGAAATTCATCACCTTATTGCGGTCCTCTTCGTTCCAGTACACACGTAGAGCTAATTTTCTGTGAATTGGGGTGCGAGTCCGGGAACCATAGCACACCGTCTCACATCTTTCACTGGCGTCGTCTCCGTCCGGCTACACTCGCCGCCGCTCCGTCCTCCCCGACCATCCACAGGAACCAGGCCGGTCGTTCATCACTCAGTTCCCCGTCCCCGAGCTCAATTTCGTTGTCCCGAGCTTAGTCGAGTATCAACGTCCGGTAATTACGGTTTGCTATTATTTTAAAGAATTTAAATAGTGTGTGGTCGTTGTGCTGAGTTGAAGCTGTAAAAACATACATATTGGGGTTACTCCATTGTTGTCTTCTCCAAGAGCTTGAACTTCAATTTTATGCACACAAGGTGTTTGATACATTGCCCGAGACATCTTTTCCAATGGGCAAGACATCGATACATCCAACTAAGAAGAAAACCACCCACGAGCCGGCTAAAAAGCGAAAAGCGGGTGAATCCTCTTCCCGAGATGCACCTTCGGTAGGTGAAGGGGATGACCTTTCGGACCAATACGGTGCCCCGTTCCCGATTTACTCTCGAAAAGAGGGCAAAATTTATGCCCGTCTCTCGCAGAAGGAAGTGGTGAGGCCGAAAGCGGTGGATTGGGACCTCCTGAACGACTTGGGTATTCTGGAGGACGTAATGAAGTACCTCAAGGTTCTTAACTTAACCGAGTATGCAAAGATCAAACACACATCGCATCGCGGCCTTATGCTCGAGTTTTTCAGTTCATTCATTCTCACCGATGGGAACGAATACTTCTCTTGCCGGCTTGAAGGGAAAGATTTTACGGTTGACAGTGCGGTCATGAAGCAATTTTGCAGCTTCACCTTAGCCGGTACAAGAAGCAAAGCCGTTGACTTCGACCCCAAGAAGAGTTGGGCCGAGCTTTCCCCGCATACGACTTGGGATTCCGCTGGCATGTTCAACGGGCTTATTGAGGATCTGGCCACGGCCGTTGTGCATCGGTTCATCTGCTACAATATCTCGGGTAAAAAAGAGGCGAACAAGGTCAGTGAGGTCGAGCTTTTTCTCCTATGGGCAATGAGAGCGGGAGTGCGAGTGTGTTCATGACCTTTCTGCAGAACACCTTGCAAGAGATTGCCCTCAATCGGCGTGGAGCACCAGCACTTGGCCATTTTGTTAGTGCACTCGCCCACCACTTCGACGTCACTCTAGAACCCTACAAATTACATGGT